CTAGGTCCGGGTGTGGGGAGCGGGCGAGGCGGGGGGGGAGGGCGCGGGGGGTGGTGGGCTGCGGCGTGTGTGTAAAGGATTAATCCAAAAAACGTGAATTTATAATCTATTATTTATTTTTCAATTCTATATGAATAGCACAAATCAAACAATTTAAATATCTAGGAGATATACTTGATTTTCGATTAAGTTTCAATGCTTTTATTAAACAACAATTAATGAAAATGAATAATGCGTTCAACATTCTTAAATACATCAACAAACTAATATCCTACTTTTGTCTCATTGAAACATCGGCTTTCCTCTGCACTTATATGACCTAATTTTAGTTTAATCTCTATCATTTATGTATTATGTTCCATTAGAACTCAAGAAAAATGTCACAAATTTTATAGAAAATACCTATACGCATTTTCCATTGTCTACAATATATGACTAATATTGAATTACATGAGACGTGGTCTCTTTTCACGCTTGAAGATTGTTTTAAAAGAATTATACAAAAGCGTTTAAGTAATTTAATATTCAAAATCATGAAATGCAAATACTTAGTATACTATTCATCAATATCAACACTTAAAAATAACTGTACAAAAACTCTTTACTGTACAAAAATATATTCTTCATTTACTCAGCGGTCAACCAAGAAATTTTATCAAAACACTAAACAAACACTATTTGATAAATTACTCGAGTTTTGTAATGAGTGACTAACTATGATTAAACTTTTATACGAAATTTTTCGCGGTTCAGGACATTCAGAACCTAATAGGTTCAATCCGCAAATAAAGTTTTTCTTCATTCATTCATTCATTCATGCAACTCAAAAGAATTAAACTTTTGTATATAAGAGGGGGGAAGTTAAAACATACCTCAGAATCTAAAATTTTTAGAAAATCATAGATTTCTAATGAAGATTGATTTCACCGTTGCATTTTTTTTTCGATAATACTGGTTGTTTATGATCTAATTGACTAATGTTAGTTACAAATAACATTCAAGCTCAATTAATAGTTTTAGCTAAATAATGCTTATATACAAGATGAAATTTCTTTTTTTACTGGTTTACTGATGCATCAGGTAATGTTTTGAAAATGTACAAATGAAGATATAAAGGTATCCAAGCCCAAGTCAACAAATATTACAGTAAAATCATCGAATTCAAATGTTCAGGTTTGATACAAGTCTAGTTGTAATATGTAAATGAACTCACTGATGCTCACGAAGTTTGTCACAGAAAAACAAAATGAGAGAAATACTATGCGAAGTTTGAAATGGTTCTGCAATATGTTATGAAACGTATTAAAATGAGTCTCTGAATTTTTCACATTTTTTTAAAGTTCTTTTTAAAACCTAAATTTCACGATATTCATAGAACGTCTTGCAATCTTTGTTAACTCTAATTACGAAAATTATTCACTTCTACTAATATTATCTCTCTCGGATGAAACTCAGAAAGATCGTACAACTCGGTATATTATTATGAACAAAAAAAGTTATAGAAATATGAAACCAATCATTTTAAATCCTCGGACAAAAGTCTTTTTCTCTTTTGTCTTTTTATGGTGTCATACTTTGCATCAAATTTATTACTGAGTAAAGATATGAAATGAGAGTTTTATTATAGTTTAATCTGTATACCAAAACGAAATAAAACTTTCATCTCATATATATCTTGACTTAATTATAAATTTAATCCAAAGTTTAATAACATAAAAAGACAAAGAGAGGAAAGATTTTTGTCCAAGAGTGCACATTTTACGCGGAACCCTAGGCATGCTTTTTTTTCATGTATTTAGTTCATAAGGAAGAGTCAAAGAACCAATTTTAAAATGAAATAGTCAATCTAAAATCTGAATTTGATGTACGCTTGCTGTTCATGTATCTATTCAAAGCTGGATAGACTAAAACCATGAGTAATCACTATATAAAAAATTACAAACATATTTTGAGAGAAGGTTACATTTGAGAACCACCTTGACGCATCCACTGAAGATAGATGATGACATGTTTCATCAAGTAACGACTTCAAACTTTAATTAAAATTCCGGAAAAATCCAGGTAAATAACTGAATTCTTGACCAGTGTTTTTTTTTACTATACTGAGTGTAATTTTGGAGTCTTATCATAGCTTAAAGAACTTCAAGAAGTTCAAATGGCCTGCAATATATAGTAAATACATAATACGGTATAGCTATATAATAACTAATAAATATAATTAGATTCTCAATTTAAAACGTACATTTTACTTATATGGTCCTGCTAATGATATTCACCTATCTTACGTACTTTGTGGTACCTGCTATTTAACAGACAGTTACTACAAAAGCAGCATTCAGAATGCACTAAAATGTAGCATCCTCGTAGGTTCAATGCTGACTATGATATGAGCTCAAATCTCGAAAATTGATTTTGTCGTCTGGTTATCCATTGTGACCCATACCGACACCCATACCCTCTAGCAATCAATTAAAAAAGATTAGGCTTCTTATTTTAGGGGTCAACGAGATCACGGGCCGAAATTTCTTTAGAACTTTCAAGTAGGGTCGCGAAATCACCGAAGCTTTGGAGCAGACCGAAGTTCGGGGCCACAACTTCCGTGGACCGAAATTTCAGTCTTCCTATAATTCAATATCAATTTGTACGAATCGTTTCAACTAAGTACTTGTCCGCTGTAACATATTACAATTGTAGCTGCCTATTACATCTAAGATAAATACTATATTAATGTAGGAATATCTTTTTGTCAATGCATTGATTGTCTATAAAAATAAGATTAAATTAATATCGTTTAATAATAATGCATATATTATGTTAAAGAGAATAATTAATTGTTCTATTAACAGCATGAGTTGATATAGATAAATAAATAACTTTAAAAATATGAGTTAAAGTTTTGAAAAGATAAAATTGATAAGTATTGACATCTATGAAATAATTGTTTTGAATAGCTTTTATAAATTCTCCAATCGGTATAAAATAAGAATGAGTCAATCAAATAGAAATAGAATCTACACTATCTTTTTTCTTTTTTATCTTATTCTTTTAAATAAGAAGGTTATGGGATTATTTTTAAGACACGTATACAAGTTTTTATCTTATGTTTTTTGTTCTTGTTCTTATTCTTATTGAAAATCGTTGCTTTTTATTTTAGTTAAAAGAATAAAAAATGTCATCAGAAAAAGAGACAAAAACATTTCCATCAGATGAACTTTTAAAATTAGTTGAACTTTGGCTTAAATGGGATCAATGTGAATGGACAAGAAAAGAAATCGAACAGCTTAAAGTATTTTTGTTTCTGTAAATAATAATTAATAAAAAATTCTATGTTAAGAATGAATCAAAATGGGATGATTTACAAGTTCGTTTATCGCATCGAATTCAATTTGGTACAGCTGGTCTTCGTGCTAAAATGGGTAGTGGATTTGCTTTAATGAATGAATTAACTGTAATTCAAGCAACACAAGGTCTTCTTCGTCATATTCAATCAACATTTAAAGATAATAAAGAATCTCTTTCGGTTGTTATCGGATTTGATGCTCGTCACCAATCGAAAAAATTTGCTTGTTTAGCTGCATCTTTATTTGCTCATGAAAAAATTCATGTTTATTTATTTGATTCAACAACAGTTCCAACACCATTTATTCCATTTTCAATTCAAAAATTAAAATGTCAAGCTGGACTTGTTGTTACAGCAAGTCATAATCCTAAAGATGATAATGGTTATAAAGTTTATTGGGAAAATGGTGCACAAATTATTTCACCATTAGATACTTATATTGCTCATTCCATTGAAAACAATTTAGAACCATGGAAAGGAAAAGCATGGAATTTAGATATTCTTCAGGAGAACAATTCAACATTGGTTTCTAATCCAATTGAAAAAGTTTCTTTTTTTATTTAAAATTTTAAAAAAAAATTATTTTAATTTATTTTATTATAGATTCGGGATTTATATATGAAAAATTTATTGAATTTATGTTATTTTCCTGAATTAAATGAAAAAACCGAATTAAAATTTGTTTATACACCTGTTCATGGTGTTGGTCAAGTTTATGCTGAACAAGCATTTTCTACATTTAAATTTCGACCATTTCTATCAGTTGATGAACAAAAAAATCCCGATCCTGATTTTCCAACAGTTAAATATCCAAATCCCGAAGAAGGAAAAGAAACACTTGAATGTGCTATTAGAGTAGCTAATAAAAACAATGCAGATTTTATTTTGGCAACTGATCCAGATGCTGATCGATTTGCATTAGCCGAAAGAGATACACAAGGAATAAGTCAATCGGGTTGGAATATTTTATCAGGAAATCAATTAGGAGCTTTATTAGGTTAGTTATTTTTCACTTTTTAATTAGTCAAATTTAGACAGATTTTATCAACAAGCATATTTTATTATAAATATTTAACTTAAAAAAAAGAAAAAAACGAAAACAAAAATAATTATTCTCAATGATTATAGTATTCTTCGTCGTATGTAAATTGACTTTTTTTCGATAATATCTTTGTTCGATAATAAGTGTGAAATGGTTATGTAGAACTAACAGAATATTCATCAGTAATTGTTAATGAGTAACAAATATACTTAAATCTTCGACGAAATATTTCTAACAAATTTTCCAGAAGTTTTATGCATATTTGTATATTATTATTATTAGGTCACTTTGTAAAATTGTTTTAATGAGGCAAACGAATTAAATTGATCATTAGGAGTCAATCAATTCGTTTTTTTTCCTCATTTATTTAACATACGTATTGATTGTTAGTTGAAAATTTTATTTAAACTCAATAGAATAGATGATCATTTCAAGTAAATTAGGATCGAAATCTAAAAAGTCTAATTAATTATAGGTTGGTGGCGTTGGTTTACTTGGCGTAATCAAAATCCAACAGTTGATGTTAAAAATGTTTATATGCTTTACTCAACTGTTTCATCACATATACTTAAATCAATTGGTGAAGTTGAAGGTTTTAATACAATTGATACATTAACAGGTTTTAAATGGCTTGGAAATAAGTCTCATGAATTATTCAATAATAATAAACATGTTATTTTTGCTTTTGAAGAAGCTATGTTAGTTAGTTGTTTTATATTTCAATAAATAAATAATTTCATTTTTGTTTTTATTTTTATTTTTTAGTGGATTTATGTGTGATCCAAAAAATGTATTAGACAAAGATGGAATATCAGCAATGGTGATTGGAGCTGAAATGTGTACTTATTTAAAATCAATTGGGCGATCATTATATGAACAATTAAATCAAATCTCATTACTCTATGGTTATCATATTAATAATAATTCTTATGTTATTTGCAATAAAACAGATGTTATGCTTAAAATGTTTAATCGTTTAAGACATTATGATCAAAGAGAAGATCAACTAAAACAGGTTATTCAAATATTATTTTGTTTTATTTTTCGAATAATCTTCATTTTTCTTATTTTCATTTAATTCTTATAGGATCATAGCCAAGCTCATAAAAATGAAGCACGTGAACCTGAAATTCTTGTTCAATATTCTAATAAAATAAAATCCCATTTAAGTGCGAATGAAAATGAACAATTAGATACAAAAGATGAAGAATATGTTTATCCAAAAACATGTGGCAAATACAATATAACTGGTGTTAGAGATTTAACTGTTGGAATTGAAGCTGATTTTGGATGTCAAGGAAAAGATAAAAAACCAACACTTCCTTGTTCATCATCGACACAAATGATAACATTTTATTTCGATAATGGTTGTGAAATAACAATACGTGCTAGTGGAACTGAACCAAAAATAAAATGGTATTCTGAAATACGAAAAAAAATTGAAAATAAACAAACATCAGAGAATAATCCAACGGCTGATGATGAACAATTTAGAAAAGAAACTAAACAAGAACTTGATCAATTAGTTGAGATTGTTGTTGAAGAATTTTTACAACCGAAGAAAAATGATCTTATTCAGAGAAACAGCAGCTAAATGATAAACAAATCAATTTTAAGAACATTCCTTCTTTTTTTTTATTATTACTGTGTTTTTTTTTAAAACTTTTATTCATTTTGCAATATGCTTTTAGTTTATATCAATAAGAACATTTCATTGTTAAATAAAATAGATTATACAAGCCGTTTTCACAGTTACACTTATATATATATTTAATTAAAAAAGAATTTTATTAAAAATCTTTGACAACATATTTATTGTTAAGTGGCTTGATATTATTTTAGATAATTATCAGTGAATATTCATCAATTTAAATAAACTTTTTTTTTGTCTTGCGTTTTTCAGGCACTTGTAATAACAATCGAAATATAGTTGAAGTTTCTTTTGTATCAGACGAGTTTCTCCATGAGCATTAACTCTTTACTTCCTGTTAGGTCATATGTGACCCATTCATAAAAATTATTTCTTTCGACTAATAAGCCAAAGAATTAAGACGCTTCTCAAACATTGTCTACAACACTAAATAAACTACAAATTCGTAAAAATTAAAAATTTTCTGATCGCTTCTTGACTTTTATTTCAGTTGGAAAATAATGATTCTTCAAAAAAAAAACTGAAAATCCAGTTTCTTTACGATTTTTTGTCTTTTTATTTGTAAAGATTGATTACTTTTGTCTGAACGGTTGATATATATATATATATTAGTTAGGGTATCACCTATTTATTCAGAGACTTTTGACAAATTATTGATTCATAACGTAGAAAGACCGTTCTTAGGAACAATTTGAGTCAATCGCAGCGAATGATATAAAAAACACTTTGTTTTTCCAATACTTTGCTTTCGATATAAACTCATTACAAACAATATGTGAATGCTAAAAGCATTTACTATAAACAAGAATTAAGAAAACAAAACTCATAATAGTTTTTTGATAATCTTCTATTGTTAAAAGATAGATATTTATAGTTTTTTTTATAACTTTTCTTCTCGATCAAAGCACGAAAATCATCACTCTCTCTTTTTCTCTCTATTATTTTGCTGGTTTCACAGGATTAACCTACGATATATGACCGAATACGTCCATATCTTCCATCTCTTGTATCATGTGAATACGCCTTGATAATATTTACATAGTATTACATTGAATCGAGCGACAATCCTTTTTTAATAAGTATATACAGGTGGTGATATTCATAATTGTCTCGTTGTCGATGTTTCTTTTTCCGATTTCTTTTTATTCTTTCTCTGTCATCCATCTAACTGTCTCATCTGTTATTGTCGTTTTTCTATTCTCTTTCTCTAGTTTTTTTCTTTTTTTTGACGTATTTCTTAATTTTTAACCAAGTGTGCATTATGTGGAATTTCAGGATAAATTCATGAGATTTCTACCATATTTTAGAACTTTTTTCTTATTGTAATCTGTGGAAATTCATATAATTTTTTTATTAACACTTCATACACGTAAAATAATGATGTGAATCTCTATATTCAATGTGTTTAAAAAGGTTTTAATTGTTATATCATACTATTTCCGACAATGAACCGTCTAGCTAGAGTTAAAATTAAAAAGAAGATTTCTAAAATGTGGTAGAAATCGTAGAGATTTACTCGATAACAAATAAAATGTTACGGGAATCAAGAATAATTGAAGGTCGAATTTTAAAAGTATTAGTTACACATCATCCATCATTGAAATCAAATAATGATGGCAATAATCTTGATTCGTCAAATAGAAAACAAAAAGAAACTATCTCGAGTATTTTGAGTATGAATTGTTGTGTTGGTTTAGCACATTGGCAACAAACACAACGAAGTTTGCACCTTCGATGCGAAAATGATGATTGTTCAATACAAGCAAACCTATTTTGTTCTAAATCCTAAGTGTATCAAAATCTTAAAGTAACACGTAGTTGTTTTAAAAACTATAATTGGTAATGAATTAACAGACAAACATGTGATGCACTAATATTCATTTCTTTATTATTTTTTTTCATTCTGAACTTTAATTATAATAAAATAAAAATTATCATGTATTATTGTGAAAAATAACTCACAATAGTAAGACATGTCTATCTTAATATAAATAAATAATCATGTAATTGAGAAAAATCGTTAAAAAGTAAAATTAGTAATAATTTCAATTTTTTTGTATCATTAAACATGATTGGAACATTTTGACCGATAGTGTATCTACACAATGAAAAGACTTTTGGTCACACTTTAATATGCTAGCAACAATCTTTTGTTTGATGTGTAAAACTTCGCAAAATCGATTGAACGCTTTCTATCGACGATGTTTGAGAACGGTTTTTTGTCTTTTTGGCTGTTCAACTCTCTATCTGCATGAACTTTTCATGTTACCAACACTTGAGAAGAAACTTCAGATATGTCTAATGAAAAGACTGAAGAACATTCAGATATATGAGCCTGAATTTTTAGAAATTGTATTAGCAAACAAGAATGTTGTAAATGCAATCTCCTGTCACTATCAGGAAAAAAGATGCTGCATTGGAATGCCCAGAGGCAGACCAAACAAAAGAATTGTTGCACTTTACGAAACAAACTGTGAAACTTTCTTCGACAAGCTTTGCACCTTTGTCTTTTCCAACTAGATCATTTACTTTTCTGTTTGTTCGGTTAGTCCCTTTTTCAATGTAGGACTAAAAAGTCACTGATCTTTCGCTCTGTTTTTTTATTTTATTGTATTGTATTGTATTGTTCGTGTTAAACATTCGTGTAACTGTCTACTAGTGAGCAAGCACGTAAGTGTACGTGTGGAAAAAAAAAGAGAGACTGAGAGACATAATTTTATTCTATTCTGTATGTGTAAGGCTTCAACTTTTTGTGGTAGTCAGGACCTAAGAGGTCAACTTACCAGAATAAAGCTCTATTCAAAAAAAAAATGAAAAGACTAAAGTCGAATTAAACCATATGATTGTTACATCAAGCACTCAAATGATCTATTCTCGTAGTCAACTCAAGATCAGCTCTGCTGAATTAGTGCCAAGACGTAAAGGACTAATCAATCATAGATTTTCATCGTTAATATTATTTATAAATTCTTTTACAATTCTGATTTTGAACAAGACTGAAAACAAACAGCTACCTTCTTTAATTTATTGTCTTTCGTTTTTCTAAATAAAAAAATAATGAATATATTACAAGTCTTTTGATTATATCAAACATACTATAGTTACTCTAATAATAGTGTGTAAAATAATACTTCAAGATGATTTTTCTGAACTTCTTTCTATTATTCTCTTAGGTTTGTCGCCTAATAATAAAACCTGATATTCACAGCATATGTTATT